GACAGTGGCAGGGCTGGATGGGGCTGTGCCGGGGGTGGCACAGGGCACAGCGGTGCCCATGGGGCTCCTGGCAGCGCTGGGGGTGGAAAAGGCCGGTGGCTTTTGCCCGGTGTCCTGTGGATGGGGTGGGCTGGGGATGGAGCCAGGTCCCTGCATCCCACCGGGATGCTCGGGCTGGTCCTGCACAAGGGACAGTGACACGTCCCGTGCTGGGTGTCCTGAGAGCCCCCGAGGCAAGGATTTGGATCAGAGGGAGGCCCACGGGAAGAGGAATTCAGCACACATCACAGATCCCAGCTGGGACAGTTTCCCTCCACCTTCTGCTCTCCCTGCAGCCTCTGGCTGAGATTTTAGCAGGTTTGTCTTTATTCCCACCCTTCAGCAAACCCCAGAGGTTCTGGGACAAGCCCTGGGAATGGTGGGACCCCTCCTCCCCCTGGAACAGGCTGTCCACAGAGGGGCCAGACAAACCCCAGCTCCCTTTTGGTAATAAAAGGATTAATTTATCTCCCTGTGGGGTGATGTGAAGCTGCAGCCAGACCCCCGAGGTGGGAGGTTCACCCCTCCCGTGCTGCTGCCAGCCTGCCTGAGCCCTGCTGCTGATTCCCCTCAGAAATGGGAATTTTGGTTTATCACGTCTGCCTGGCGGGCAGCAGGAGCTGCACAGTGAGCCGGGGGAAAGCACAAGGTAATAGAGGTATTTATTAAAGCAGGGAGGAAATTTATATGCTATTCCTGCTTTTTCAGCTCTCAGTCATCGCCGAGGGGAGAGGAGGAGTGGGCAGCCTGCTCAGGAAATCACCAGGAGTCTGTTTTCTGCCCATTTGTCAGTCTGATGAACAAGGAAAATACGGGCAGGCTGGGTGAAGGAGAAATGGAGAGTGTGGAACACGATTCTGCACGGGCAGGAGCAGCCCCAGGGGCCTGGGGAAGCCTCCCTGGATCCCTCTGGAGCTTGGGGGAATTGTGCCACCACGGGCTTGGGGTCCCTGAGGCTCCCTGGGTGGGGAGGGGGAGATGGGAGAGGGATAGGGAGGAGAAAAGGGCTCTGGAGGGGATGGGCTGGAGGAAAAAGGGGCTTGGGATGGGATGGGATGGGATGGGATGGGATGGGATGGGATGGGATGGGATGGGATGGGATGGGATGGGATGGACGAGAAAAGGGCTCTGGAAGGGAAAGTCTGGAGGCTAAAAGGGGTTCTGGAGAGGATGGAACAGAGGAGAAAAGGTCAGGCTGGAGGAGACAAGGGATTCTAGTGGGGCTGGGCTGGAGCAGGGGCCTGGCAGTGGGATGAGGTCGATCCCAGTGTCCAAAACCACCACCCCAATCCTTGCAGCCCCCCTTGGCAGTGCCCTCCCAGCTGCTGGAGCACCAGAGCGTTTAGCATCTCCTGGAGAGGAGCACTGAGGAGTGCAAAGCCACCAATATTAAGTGCTAATAATTCCCTCCTTTCATTTGCAGTTATCCACCTACATGTGAGAGGCTGGGATTTTGCTGACACGTTCTGGCTGGGAATTGAATGCTGCCTGAATCATCCAGCCAGGGCCATTTGTTCATAAAAGTAAGGAATTGCTGTTTGAATCCTTTTATTGCTGCTAACGTGACACAGGCAGCCGTGATGGATTCGGGCTGGGGATGTGACACAAACACAGACGTGGCCCTGCTGGCAAGTGACACAAATGTGGGGACACCTGAACCCTCCTGGGTGGGAGCAAACACTGCCTGGGTGTCCCTGGGGCTGTGCAAAGTCCCCCTGGCACTGTAGGGGCAATCCTGGCTCCTTCCAAGGTCTAATTCCAGCAGTTTTTCCATTAAGGAGCTGCTCTCCCCGCTGGTATCAGGGTCTGGGCACCCCAGAGAGGAATTTGCCCACCCAGTGCTGTGTGTGATGGCACAGAGGGAAGGGGGGAGTGTTTGAGGATTTTAATCTTCTTGTTCCCAGAGCTGCTGGAGTGGCTGGACAGGGAGATGTTTTTCCTTTGGCAGAGACAAATGAGCAGAGCCAGACCCTCTGGCATGGAGCTGCTCCTTCTACACTGATGGGATAAAAATGTCCTGGGAGAAATCCAGGCAGTGCCATTCCAGCCTGGAGAGATCAGCCCTGGGCAGGATGAGGGTTGTGGGGAACAGCACTGGGCCAGGACCCTGTTTTGTCCCTTTTTTGGGGGTTCTGCCTGTGCCCAGGGCTGTGGGGCCAAGACCAAGCCCACCTCACTGAGATTTCCCCCTCATCCCTGTGGATGCTCCAAATCAGGACGTTGTTAACTCTGAGCTGCTTCTCCCTGAGTGCTGCTTGTACAAATGAGAACTGATTTAAAATGAATTGAGCCAATTACTGCAGTTTTCCTAAACCAGCTGACAGCAGTGCTGGGATGAGGAGGAACAGTCCCAGCTGCAGAAGGATGGGAGTCAGACACTGAAATGCCCTTTGGGCTCGAGATTCCAGCTGTCTCCATTCTCTGGATGGGTCTGGCTGCTTTCCTCAGTTTGCATCTGAATTCAGGTGGCAGCAGTGCCAGGCCAGCGGTGCTGGAGCAGCTGGTGGTGCCTGCTCTGAGTGGGTGATGCCAGGATGGTCCCTGCTGGTTGCAAAAAGTGCCTGGATAAATCCATGTATTGATGGAAAAGTGGAAGGAAAGAACTCCTGGATGATTTTTCAAGAGGAACCTTTGAATGAGATGCTTTCTGCCATGGGAGGGTCGGGTCTGTTGGGCTGGGTGAGGTTTGGGTTTTTGGTTGGCTGGTGGCTGCTGCTCCCCTGCCCCCATGGTTTGAAGAAATCAGTTCTGGGCTTGGATATGGGCTTGGCTTGGGGTTTGTAGAGAAGGAAAAAAGGTTCCTGGGATGAGCAGAGTGGCCACGAATCACCCAGTGTTGGAATCTGAGCTATTGATGATCCCGAAATGTAGAAAGTCTCTGTCTGTCAGCCCCGCTGCCAAAGCAGAAGCCATAATTGGTCTGTGCTGGTTTCAAGGTTGTTTATTCTGTTTATCTCTAACATGTTCTGCTGCCCTGCCGCAGCTCTGTCCTGCAGGGCAGCGTGTGGGGCTCTGCCCTCAGTGGGATGGTACAAACATTAAATACCACAAACTACCTGTGCTGGATTTACAATAACGTGCCAATATCTGTCACCTACGTTGGACAGTGTGTCCCCAGCCTGAACCAACAGAAAAATGCCAACACCACAGTGAAACATGGAGGGCATGAAGAAGGAGAAAAAGGACAAGGCACACCCAATTTCCTCCATCTTGTCCCCTTTGGACCCCTCATCTAGAATCCTAAAATTTTACTTTTGCACCCGTGCCACACTTAATTATTACTGATATCAAACCCTCAGAGCTTGTAATTGATCTTGTAAGATTGAAAACTCTTTTCCATGGGCAGAGATCACAGCCAGTGTCTCTGGGGGCTCTGTCCAGGGGGGTTCCTGACCCCTGCCAGGGTCCCAGAGCTGCCAGGGCAGCCAGAGGGAAGCCCTGGATTCCGACAACCCAGCACAGCAGGAATGGTGTGGGAGCTGCTCCAGGGCAATCCTGGCCAGGAGCCCCGAATTTGGGTGGGTGCAGAGACAGGAGGGTGCCTGGAGAGCGGGGCTGGGGCTGGGGCTGCATCCTTCCCCTCCCAGGCCTGCTGTTTTGGGGCAAAAAGTGCTTCCTATCCCTGCCTTCCCATGCCAGGGATGAGCCTGGGACTGCCCAGGGACCAACTTTTCCCTGATTCTGCCAATTCTGCCAATTTTTCCTGATTCTGCCAATTCTGTCACGACGCTGCCTGCAAGGGCCCTGCAGGAAGGGGAGCTTGAACTCTGTGAGAAGCTCTCAGATGAAGCTTTATTTAAAGCTACATGGGGAAATATTAAATATTAAAGTACACAAGTCCCTGGTTTGGCAGCAAGGGCTGTGCCCTGTGTGTCTCTTTTTGCCTCTAAACACCTTCAGTGCTCAGGCTAATGGGGCTGTCACGCTGTGGGGATGGTGTCACCCACAGATCCCCCTTCCCATGGCTTTTGGGACAGCTGCAGGATTGTGTCTCTAAGAGCACATCGTGTTCCCCCAGCTGGCCACCAGCATCTTGTCCCCACAGCCCAAGAGAAAGGACGAGGACTGAGCATCTGTGTTTTTCTCTGTGCTGCTTCTGTTTATTTCTTATTATTTTAAATCCCTACTCCTTGACTGCAGATATCCTTGTGCTGGCATGAGATGATTTATTTATAAAATATGTACAGGAAAGCGCTCGGGTCCCGGCCCCACCCTCCAAGGTTGGCCGTGCTTGTCCAGCCAGAGCAGAGGTGGAAGGGGAATTTCTCTGCTTTGGAGTGGGGAAGAGGAGGAGAAAGGAAAGGGCTGAGAGAGATAAAGATTTCAAAGGACATGAGCAAATATTTACAGGTTCCAAGACAAAAAAATGTATCTACAGTGTTGTCTTGGGGATAGAGGGAGCCGGGCTGGAAGCGGAGCCCGCTCGTGGCTGCGTTTGTTATGTTGATTTATGGAGACTGCAGGAATCGATTCCTGGTGGGAATCCCGGTGGGATCGTGGCTCCAGAGAGCCCCGGGCTCAGGCCCTGCTGAGGGGCAGGTGGGGCCACCCCAGCCACGGGGTCCTGCTCCTGGGGCTTTGCCAGAATATTTAGATTTTTGCAAATGAGGCCTGGATGCTCCTGTGAGCTGCGGGAGCGCAGGGAAGGGCGATGCTGGCAGGGAATGGGATTCAGGTAGGAAAAGGTTTGGGGTCCCCACCAACCGCTGCTGTTCCAACTCAGTGGGGACAGGTAGGGACAGTCCCCCAGAGGTGACGAGCTCCTGGGAGCTGGGGCACGGCCCTGGGCTCGGAGTGGCAGAGCTCAGAGTGCCACGTGTGGGTCCCCGTGGATGTGTGGGGTGGGGTGTGCACAGCTACGGCAGGACGGGCACAGCTAAATTCCCCTGCAGGGGAGGGGGCCAGGGCACGAGGGGATGGCTGTGGGGCGTCTGTCTGGGTCCCCGAGCTCGAAAGGTCACCCCAGTTCAAACTGTCCGTGCTCTATGCGGGTGATACTTGGCTGGAGGAGACGGAGGAGACCTCGGTCTTGCTCTGGGATACGGTGGAGGAGGTTTCTTCATCCCCAAAGGGGTTCTTGCCGCAGCAGATTGTGGTGATCATGCAGTTACGGAACTGGGGAGGGGAGAGAAATGACAATGGTGGCACTGGGGGGCCAGCAGGGACGTGCTACAGGCCCAAGAGTCCCTGCATGGACTGAGATCCCTTCTGGGAAGGAGCAACGTGCCCGTGGAGCCCCCAGAAGTGCTGCCCAGCCCCGGGGGCGTCTCACCTGTTTGTTCATGAGCACGTAGATGATGGGGTTGTAGAGGGAGGAGCTCTTGGAGAAGAAGGCAGGCACTGCCATCAGCGTGGCCGTGAAGTCGGCGCCCTTGTTGGTGAAGATCCAGAACGCCACCACGGCGTAGGGCGTCCAGGCCAGCATGAAGCCCAGCACCATGAGGATCACCATCCTCGTCACCTCCTTCTCCGCCTTCTGGGTCGTGGCTGACTCCTGCTGCTGGGCAGCTGCCTGTGCACACAGGGGCTGCTGAGGGGCGGCTCTGCACCCCCAGCCCACGTCCCCCGTCCTGCCCGAGCCGCCCCCCTGTCCCCGTGGTCCCCTCCGGCCGTTACCTCCCGGACTTTGCACACCAGGCGTCCGTAGGAGAAGAAGATGATGACGACGGGGATGATGAAGTGGATAACGAACATGTAGAGCACGTAGGACTCGTTGTGGAAGTCGGGGTTGTGGGTGTAGTAGTCGGGCCCGCAGGAGCACTGCATTCCCTCCGGGATGTACCTGGCAGGGAGAGAGGTGGGAATCTGCTCCAGGACCCTCCTGGGGGGCAACAGGGATGGAATTCCCTGAGGATGGGGGAGGCTGGAAGGTGGCACACGTGGTTTGGGCGCACTCGAGGGCGCAGTGTCAGCTTGCTGTGACGCTCCCTCCCTCCCACAGGAACGGGACATTCATTTCCCTCCTCCAAGGCCAAGCTGCATGGCTGGAGGGGTCCGGGAGCTGCTGGGGACCCTCGGGCTCACCTGGACCAGCCGAAGAGCGGCGGGGCGGCGCAGGAGATGGCCATGACCCAGGTGAAAGCGATGCCCATCAAGGCGTGGCTGGCGGAGAAGCGGAAGTTGCCCATGGGCTTGCAGATGACAATGTAGCGCTCGATGGCCAGGACAACCAGGGACCACAGGGCGACCTGGCCTGCGGGGAGGAGAGGGAGAGCCCACGGAGGCGTCAGTGCCCCTCTGGGCTCCACCTTCCCTTGGTGCTTCCAGAGGAGAGCAGAGGGATCAGTGTGGGATAAGCAGCATCCTGCTAGAAAACGGGGAATCCTCCACCCGTAACGTGCAGAAGCTCTGGGAGCTGAGGGGATGCTGGGGCGGAGGGGTTTTAATAAATTAAGAATCAAGGGAGTGAATCCCACCTGAGCATGGGGAAACACAATCCCTGGCAATGCTGCCAGATGCCTCCAAACCTGTTGATTCCTTTAAATGTGCATTTCACCAGCCTTCTGCTGGCGCTGGATCAGGGGGAAGTGCGGGGAGGGGGGGACTGTGTGGGTGGGAAATGTGCACATGTATTTATGAGGGATAATTAAACTTCAGGGGATTTGGGAGCGTTTAGTCGGTGCTGTAAGCCTGCTAATGCCCCCAGCTGTGATAAGCTGCTGATAACGACACCCTGTGCTGGGATTCGCTGGGGACCTGCTGCTCCAACAGCCGCTGCTTCCCAGCCAACTTCCTTCCCTGGGAACAGGAGCCTCCTCCTCCTCCTCTGAGCTACAAACATTGGGAAGGCAAACCAACGCTGCCCAAGGCTCAGTGAGCAGGGATGAAGCAGACTTTGGGGTCTTCTGACCCCAAACCCAAGCCTTTCCTTGCTCCTTGGCTTGGATCAGGACATTCAGCTGTGCCTTTGGCAGAATATCCGTATTTTTAAAATGTGTATTTTCAGAGCAGCTTCACTGTGGGAAATGGCATTGTTTAGGGGAAGGAAAGCAAAGTCCCTGTGGTGGCTCTGGGTCTCTCCAACAAGGACTGGTGGCTGTCAGATCCATCACGAGGTGTGGCGTGGGCAGGGCTGGCTGCGTGGGCTCTGGCTGCCGAGTGAATTCTCCCTGTTTTTCCGCAGGGCAAAGTGTTGGCAGCACTTGTGTGTGTCCCTGAGAAATGCCTCAAGGAAAATCCCAAGGGCGCCCAAATCTGGTGCAGCTGGGACAGAGCTGAGCTATCCCTGTGGAACCTGAGAACCACCCTGGATCCTCCTCCTGAGCCTTCTCATCTCTCTACGCCTCTAGCTCTTCTGTGGGGTTCCCTTCCTGAGGGATTTCTCTTCCCCTTCTAAACCCTCCATTTCCCCAGAAAGGGAAGCCTTTGGGCAAAGGAACAATCATGGAATTGTGAAGGTTGGGAAAAACCTCTAAGGCGATCAAGTCCGAGCCTGTGCTTGGTCCGAGCTGCTTGGTGTTGGTTCGGGAACACGCTGTGGTCATCCCTGGCAGTCTCTGGTAACCACCTTGGCATCACACCCCCAGTGACCAGCAGGGCCAGGTGACCCCAGGCTGGACCCTGCAAACAAGGATCCCTTCCCAAACTTCCCTTCCTTGCCACCATGCCATGGAGGCTTCTTGCTATCGAGGTCAAACACGCAGAAATCTCTTTTCCTCCCCCATTTTAAGCACAGGGCGAGCGCCACACGAGGGGGAACGATGCTGCACATCCCAACAGTGCCAAGAAGAGATGGAACCAGACTCCCAAAGCCCTGGAGAAAGAAGCCCCACGCCCCCATTCCCATCCCTTACCTCCCAGTGTGGCAAAGAACCCCTCCACGGCGCAGCCGATGGGGCCGAACACGAAGTAGCCGTTCCAGGCGGTGTAGAAGGTGACGGTGAAACCAAAGCAGGCCATGCACAGGTCAGCCACCGCCAGGTTGACCAGGATGTAGTTGAGAGGCTGCCGGAGCTTCTTGTGCTTGAAGGTGACCAGGAGGGTGAGGAAGTTGATGGGGAAGCCGGTGGAGATGAGGAAGAAGATGTAGCAGCACACGAGGCGGTATTTCCAGGGCTCGGCCAGGTAGTACTGCGGGTACTCGAAGGGGCTCCGCACCACCCCTGTCTTGTTGGACATAGGCACGTAAAAATTGATCCCCTCCGTCCCGTTCATCCTGCCCTGGCTGTGGGAGCTGCTCTGCCGGAGGGGTTTTCTGCAATGAATCGCGTTCCGACCCTGATTAATTAAAAAAGGGAAGCCCCACCCCCTCCCAAAAAGCGCGCAGTGAGAGGATTCCCCTCCAACCCAAAGGGTGAATGAATGGCAAGGAGCAGCAGAATTGAGGGGATGGAGGTGGTGCCCTGCCCTGTGCCGCGCCAGGGGCTGGCGGTGCCGCATCTGGGGTGGTTTTATACCCTCCGGCCTCCCCGAGGGAGGGGGGAGGCTGACGAGGGGCTCGGCTAACTTTGTATGACAAGGCCAACGGGATTGAGAGGGGTTGATGGTTTAAGCACCCTCTAAGCAGCCAGTTGGCCCCAAAACCTGCATTAAAGCGTATTAATTGCCATTAAGTGTTTAATGTTTGGGGGCAGGAAGGGATGGGGTGGGGAGAGCTTGGAAAGAGGGGCAAAGATGGGAGGAGCAGTGGGGAGTTTGGGAGTGGCCGATGTGTAAATGGGCTGTTCTGGGGTCCACAGTGTGTCACAGGTTTGGGGTGTCCCTGGGTGGCTGAAGGACCCCGTGAGACCACCTGAGGACTGGGGAGTGGCCAGCTCTGCCCCACTGACCTTGGGGAGGTCACTGGGGGAAGACTGGACTGAGCTTTGTGGGTCTGAGCTGTTGGCTGGGCTCTGTTTCGGGTGCCTGGTTCAGTGTGGGGGCTGCTGGGGTCTGCATCCCAAATCCAGGCTCTGCTGACACAGCCAAGGGCCTGGAGCTGGGCAAAGGTAGGAGGGGAAGCCCCTTCCCATCCCACAGGTATTGCAGTTGGTAATTTTTTGGTAAATGTAGCATTTTGGGGCAGGGCTCTTGGCTGTGCGACCCTGATCCCACCCCTGGTTGTGCCACGGGGCAGAGGACAGCAAAGATGTCCTGAGCTCCCTGAAGAGTGTGGAGAGACCAGCGCAGCCTGGGAGAGCCAGAGGGATGGAAGGGAGCTTTTCCCAGGATCCCAGCATGGAACGTGGGAGCTTTTCCCAGGATCCCAGCACACACGAGCCTGGGAAACCATTCCCAGCAGGGCCAGCACCAATGCTCCATCTCACCCAAGTTCTTCTTCCCCATTTCTTCCTTCTGGGTCATGGGTGCTCCTTCTCCAGGGGAGCTGCCTAAGGCGCCTTAGGGAAGCTCTTCCATTAATCCTGGGGAAGTGGGGTGTTAAGGGAGCTGATCGGATAACGAGGTAAGCTGGGCCTCCTCCTCCTCCTCCTCCTCCTCCTCCTCCTCAAGGCACAGCCCATGGAAAAAGTCACCGCTGTCCCGTGGGATGAGTGAGGTCTCCTGCACGCCTGGGGCGTCTCCGAGCTGGAGGCCGGAGCGGAAGGCTCAGGGGGAGCTGGGGTGGGTGGTGTCCTAATCCCTGATCTGTGAGAGCAGAAGTAGGACGAGGTGCAGGGAACTGGGTCAGGTCAGCCTCAGGTGCCCCAGGAAGAAGGCTCCCCATGGATGGATGTGCCTCTTGGAATCAGGCACCAAATTCCTGCTCCAGGTCTTCCTTGAGGAGATGAGGGGAAAGTGGAGGAGTCCCATGGCCCTGCTTCTCACAGAGCTTTCCCTGGAGGAATTTCCTGCCTCTCCTGGCCATGGTCAGGCTCCAGATGTACAAAAATTGGGCACATAGTTGCAGAATGAGTTGAATATCAAAGGAGATCCCAGAAATTCTAATCCACAAAAACAGCTGTGCATTCATCTCAGTTCCAAGTGTGCACCTCCCAGCTCCCATGGGAGAAAGCAACTCTCTCCAGCTCCAATATTTCACTGTGGTGACCCACCTTCAAAAGAGAAAGCAAGTCTTCAGCACCAATATTTCACTTCAAAAACACATATGCCTCGCTGCCAGTGCCAGCAGCATCCCAAAGCTCTGGTGCTTCTCCAAGGTTTTGCATGTGCACACCATGGGTAGCCCATGGGAAAGTTAATTGTCACCTCCCACCCCTTCCTGGCACCCCTTTGGGGTGTCCTGCCCTCTTCTAAAGCCAAGAGTGGTGCAAAGGAAGCTGTGGGGGGAAGAGGGACACTGAGTCTGGTGCTGGGGGAACACTCAGCTGCACTTTTTGGGAGGGGGACCTTTCCTGGCTCAGCAGATCCTCTCCATTCACCCTGGCAGCTGAGTGTGGAGGAGATTTGACTTCATGGGTGGTTCCCAGATACCTTTCAAAGGGACAAGAGAGACTTGAAAGAGGACTGGACTGGACTGAGAGGGTTTCAGCCCACCAGGACCAGGCGAGGCTGAGCCACCGGTGCTTTGTGAGAGGGTTGTCCCCTCCCAGCTGTGTCCCCTGGGGTCACTGCCCCGAGGGCAGTGGATTGAGAGCTCTGGGCAGGTCAGCACAACCGGAGCAATGGCCAAGGCCTCGAGTAAACCCAGAGCAGGGAAATGACACCGCTGAGGGTGGCTGGTCCCTCCAGGACGTGTCCTGAATGCAACCTCGGCTCCTGTTGCAGCCCTGTCACAGAGATGGCTTTAATTTGTTGTCTCTTAGCAGGGAAAGTTTATGAGCTGCTCTCTCTCCAGGAGAGCTCCCAGTTGTTTTCTGTGCTGACAGCAAATTCCAGGCCCTGCCTAATGCGGGAGGAGAGATTTGCTGCTCTGTGTTTGTGCTCAAGAAAAGGCTTTTCGTGCCCCTCGCAGGTTTTCCTGCTTTGAGCTGGGATTGTCTCTGGCTCGTTGTTTGTTGGCGCGCGGCGTGACGGGGCCCTGAGCTGCTCTGGGCTTTCATGTGCTGTGTAAAGCAAGGGATGATAATTATAATCAAATAACCGGCTTGCACAGAGCCGACACGCCTGGTTCACAGCCTGGATCAGCGACAGGCAGAGCTCACACAGGGGAGCTGGGCTCCCCCTTTGTGGTGCCCATCCCCAGCCCTGCTGGGCACAGGAGCCACAGGGAACACCTGGCAGAGCAAGGTGGAGGGAAATGCAAAAGCACAACAAATCAGTCATGAAGGGAACATCTGCGCTGAGCTCTGGTGCTGGGATGTGCCGGCTGTGAGCACGGCTCTGGCTGCACGCTGAGCTCACTCCTGTGCTTCTGGCTGGTTCTGTAACCAGTGCTGCCCTGAATCTCCCTCCTGTGGGGGCTCATTCCTCCTCAGTGGGCAGGAAAAGAGGGAAGAAGTGCTTTGGGGTGCCCTGGGAAGACCCCATTTCCCATATCACATAGCAGCCACCCCGGGCCGCGGCGCTGAGCCGCTCAGGCCGGGCTTGTGAGCTGCCTCGCCAGGAAAGGGGTTAAGGCAAGATAAAGCCACGGCGTTATAGAGACCATATGGAGGGGAAGAAAACCCTTTATCCTGTAATTGGATTCGCTCTGCGCTGGAGGTGAGGCTGAGTGGAGCTGACAGGCCGTGATGGGCGAGGCGCTGCCAGCCGCCCGTCCAAAGCAGGATGTGTGTGCACAAACTTGTAGATCAATCCATTAGAGTGGATCAAATAGATTTAAACGTGTAGCAGGGAGAAGGAGGACACTGATGTATTTACAATTGAGTTCACTGGGCTGGCCTTCCCCAGCAGGGATTACCTGGCCATGGCTGGTGGCTCTGTGGCTCTGTGGCCGTGCCCTGGGCACCCACTCAGGACAGGGGCTGGGTGTGGATGGGGAGGTGACCTTGCTTTTGTCCTAAAAAATAACAGTGCACAGCAGGTTGTCTTTTGTCTTTCAAGCAGGAAATTTGAGCAGGAGAGACCCCAGCTCCCATTTTCCATGCAGGTTCTCCATCTCCATCCTGCTCAGGCTGTCCCCACAAGCCATAAAGCAGCTGGGATGTGGGGAGAGCTCCCCAGCGCCAAACTCTTCTCCTGGTACCTGCACTCTCTGGCAGCTCCCAGCCTTTTCTTCCCAGGTAATGTCTCCCCAAGCGCTGTAGGATTTCCTTGGAGAGACAGGCACGCTTTGGGCCCTGTCATTTCCCTGCCAAGAGCTGAGCAATCCCGGCTCAGCTGCGAACCTGCTCCGCTCCGTGTGCTGCTGTCAACACTTCTCCCTCGGTGACAACCCGGGGCTGTGGCAGAGTGGGCAAGTGTGCAAGAGATTCCCCTGGTCCCACAGCGAGGAGCAGCTGGCACTGCTGGCAGATCCCAGCAGATCCAGTAGATCCCAGAAGATCCCGGCACCTCCGGTAGATCCCAACAGATCCCGGCAGCTCCGGTAGATCCTGGCAGACCCCAGCAGATCCTGGTAGCTCCAGCAGATCCTAACAGATCCTGGCAGCTTTGGTTGATCCTGGCAGATCTTGGCAGATCCCAGCAGATCCTGGTATCTTTGGCAGATCCCAACAGATCCCAGCAGCTTTGGCAGATCCCGGCAGCTCTGATAGATCCTGGCAGATCCCAGCAGATCCAGCAGATCCTGGTAGCTCCAGCAGATCCCAACAGATCCCAGCAGCTCCAGTAGATCCTGGCAGCTCCAGCAGATCCCAGAAGCTCTGGTAGATCCTGGCAAATCCTGGCAGATCCCGGTAGTTCCAGCAGATCCTGGCAGCTCCAGCAGATCTCAGCAGCTCCAGCAGATCCCAGTAGATCCCAGCAGATCCTGGCAGCTCCAGCAGATCCCAGAAGTTTAGGTAGATCCTGGTAGATCCTGGCAGATCCCAGCAGTTCCAGCAGATCCTGGTAGCTCCAGCAGATCCCAGCAGTTCCAGCAGATCCCAGCAGCTCTGGCAGATCCTGGCAGATCCCAGCAGTTCCAGCAGATCCCAGAAGCTCTGGCAGATCCCAGCAGTTCCAGCAGATCCCAGCAGCTCTGTTAGATCCCAGCAGCTCTGGTAGATCCTGGCAGATCCCAGCAGTTCCAGCAGATCCCAGAAGCTCTGGCAGATCCCAGCAGTTCCAGCAGATCCCAGCAGCTCTGTTAGATCCTGGCAGCTCTGGTAGATCCCAGCAGATCCAGCAGATCCCAGCAGTTCCAGCAGATCCCAGCAGCTCCAGCAGCGCTCCCACAGCTGCTCCCGGAGCGAGTTGTGCTCTGCCAGGGGTGATG